AGGGTGGAGGCAAAACAGTTGGAAAAGAGAAGGAAGCTGTAGGAATCTTACTGTACAAAATATTTCGATGGCAACAACAACAGAAGAATATATTGTAAGGGCCAAGCATAGCAGTCAAGACATTGTGTTTAGAGGACTTACTGTGGACTTACTGAGAGACCTTGGTGTGGAGGGTGGGTCCAGGTGGCTCTGCAGAAGTCCTCTGATCCGAGGGGACCCAAGGCTATGGTGAGGTGTGACTGTGGGCCTCCCTTTCTCTACCCTTGTCTCCAGATCCCTTACTGTAAACTCACATCACGATGCCACATTTCTTTGCACCTGGGCACCAAGATTTCTCACCTTAACCCCTCAAAATCTAGCACCCACTCATACAGTTCCTTTTTCTGATCTTCCCTCTCCCCTGCTCCATGGCCCACGAATGAGAGAGACTCCTTCCCCTGGACTCCTGTATTGACTGTTCCTTCCAGCCCTTTTTGGATACTAACTGTTCTTCTTTTCTGTGCAAAGTTCTGACTAGCCAGTAATTGCTTCCTCTGTCAATGGCATTTTCTTAGACAATGACAAAATATAATGCTTTCACCTATTGGTGATAAATCTCACATTTCTGGTAGAAGCTATAGGTGGACTAGCAGTGCCTTGGGATGGGGCAGGGCGGGGAGAGTAGGAATTAATTCCTGTGTGCTTCAAACTATACTTGCTAAATGGCCTCTCTTAGCCCTGCTTTACTGCTGGGACTTCTTATCCCGAAGACATGGCTCAGGGTGCCCTCTTGTGGTGGACAGGCATTCCCACGGCCCTTTTCTGGAATGAAACGAGAGGGAGCCCTACAGCAGTCCCTGTGTGACTTAGCTTTTAGCTTTTGTTCTTATCAACACCTGCCAAGTCATGAATCTGGAAATAATATAGTGAGATGCTAAAAACAAATTTGAAAACCGTAAGCAGGATCTGTCTCTAGTCTGGAATAGCCCACGTTTCTAAAATGTTTTATTGTTTTGTTTCTTCAGAATATAGAACAGTACTTAAAAAAATAGAACAGATAGTTTGAAACTGTTCTTTTCGAATATTTCTGTCATCTGGAAATGCCTGTACATAAGCCCCATGACAGATCTGCTCGGCTGAAAAATCTGTGGACATGTCACCAGCCCTCAGAATAGAAGAGAGAGCCAGCATCCCATGATTCTAGAAGGAAAGCATCCAGCACCGGGAGAATCAGTCACACACGAGCTGGAACACAGCGATGCACAAATGTGGCTTCCATGGATGAGAAAGACTCTGTGTGTGACTCTCTTAATTTTATAACCCAAAACAGATTCTAATAAGTATCAATATTATCTCTTTTACTAACACAGAGTCCAAGTTCTGTCGTTCTAGAACTCAAATTAACACAGGACCAAATTTGATAGAAGCAGCTGTGGAGCTTTATAAAAATTAGCAAACCTGGGCCTCACCACTGGATGGTCTAATTCAGAAAGTCTGGGGGAAGTTTCCAGCTTTAATCATTTTGTAAAAAATTCTTTGAGTGACTGCAGTGTGCAGCAAGGCTGGAGAGTTAACACTGAACTGAGGCCCCCTGGGTGGGGTGCTGCGGGGACTGAGAAGAGAGGTTCTCCATGTTTGTAAGTTAGTTCCAAAGTGGTAGACTAGTCAGATAGTGGACAGTCATGCTACAGGTCACATTTCAGGGATCTTCAGAGTTGATGGAGCTTGTTGAGGACACAGATTTGTCTTATTCTTCTTCCGATCTTCAGGATCTAACACTACACCTGGTAAATGTGTTTAAAGAGTAAAGGAAGAAGGGGCTGAAAGATTATACAAGGAAGAAGTCAGAAGCCACCCCGTCTCATCTATAGCCAGGGTTGGCAGAGCATAATGTGATTAAATCAATAACTGCTTTGCGGTGCTTCAAGATCATCCTTCAGACATCTATGGTAAATTAAATGTGCAATGGTATACTGAAGGCAAAGTTGGTGCACTTAGCCCCAGATTTTTTTCCATTGCCAAGTTAAAATTCTTCTGTCTTCATATTTTGACCCAGGAATTACATTATTTAGGGATACAAGCTTCTTCAGATAAGCAGCATCAAGATAAATATGCTGTTATAGGACTCCTGTGTTATACTTGGAAGATGAAGTATTATCTCCCTCATTTGAACTTAAAGGAAAATTGAATTTAAGATCTGACAAAGCCAGGAATCAATGTCTCACACCCCAAACTCTTATCCCTGGGTTCTATTCCCTCCCTTGAACTCCTTGGAATTTTAAATTTCAAGGTCCTCCCCCAGGAATGAGAAGACCTGGATTCTATTCCTGGCGTTGCTAGTAACTGGCTTTGTGACCTTGAGCAAATGACTTAACATCAGGGCCTCTTTCCTCAGCTGTAAAATGAGAAGCTTGGCTAGACGATGTCAGGCTATAAAAAAACTTCTTTCTGGCTATAAAATTCTATGAGTCTGGAAGCACCTGCTAGTGATGTTTTGCACCCAATATTCCTCTTTCTCCCTTTCCAAGATGTTTTAGTCTGTGGCTTAATATCATCATTTATAAAGACCTTTTCCAACCCTTTCCAGGATTTTCCTTTTTGTTTCTTGACAGCAGCTCATGTTTCTACATTTACTTTACGTTAAATACTCTTACATGCATTTTTATGGATATGTTATACATTGAAATAGGATTGGTATGACATCACACACCAATGATTCTTCCAAATTCTCTCCAATGTATAAAGCAATAGTTTGAGTCAGTTTCATATTTGAAGGTTTAAATATTTCAATGGGCTAAAAGTAACCTGGATTATGCACCAACTTGCATTTTCTCCATAAGGTTTTCAGCCATTGTGACACCTGCTTGAAAATATCAGGCACTTCAAGATGTTGAAATATCACTGTAGGGCTGAGGATACCAACAGTAGTCTTTAAAATCTATTTGTTTTATGTGTATAACAGTAGGAACTTTTCTTAAAACAAAGCTTTCTTAAAAAATTTTTTTCTTGGAAAGGTTCAGAATTACCTGTACGGAATGCTTATTGCCTTTGTAGGCCGTCATCTGATTGTGTTACTTTATTTCTTTGGGGTATGAAATATGGAATTTTAGCTAATATACATTTTTACATTTAAAATGAAAGGGTTGGTAAATACGAGAGTAATTGGTAGACTTGGAGTGAAATTCTGTCAAAGTTGTGTCCCTAGTTTTTGATCCTATATATAATTTAAGGTCAACTTTACCGTGACAAGAAGCAGATGAAGCACCTGCAACAAATAATTACTGGGACATGCGTGAAAAGGGGCGTTCCTGTAGGTGCTATTGTGTGGCAGCATAGAGAATAGTGCAACATGAGTTCTTCTGTAATTAGCTACATATTATCCGAAGTTCTGATAGGATTTAAAAAGCAGTCTTAATTTGATTTACAAAGGACACAAGGAAATTAAGAGGTCTGGAGCGGAAGAGAGGGGAGGGGGAACAATTTTATTAGATAATCCTGTATAGATGCTTTGGGGGACTTACTCCCCCCACCCCCTGCCACCTCCCACCTCCAACCACCACACCAGGATTTCTCTCCTCTCGTGATAGGGATGGAGGCAGAATGAGCTAACATTTCTTAAATGCCTGACTCTATAAGTATCTCCTCACCCTCTTACAATAGCCTCATGAAGTAAATATAATAATTTCTCTACTGAAGTACCAGACTCAAAGTTCACACAGATAATTGGTGGCAGCAGAATTAAAACCAATGTCTCTGTGACAAAATTCCAGGATCTTCAGGTGGAGAAACCAGTTCCAAGATCTACTTCTCTTCATGGTCAAGTTTCTATGAATTTCAGGAAGATACCTTACCTTTTAGAGCCTTGGTTTTATCAGTAAAATTGTTTAAATATCTACAGACCGTTTCTGTGAGAGTGAACTAAGATAAAGCTACATTAGATATTAGAAGCACTTAGCACAGAGCCTTGCAGAGACCTGTCTCCATGAGTCATCAATTATTACTAGAATTACCGTTGTTATTGCTTTCAGGTTACGACACCAAGCTTTCAAAACACAGAGTATGATTTCATTTGATTGTCCTACATGTACTAAAGTCCTACTCTGAGCAAGTTACTCTTAGTAAACTTTTTAGCTCCCCATGAAATATTTATCTGGAAGCAGCCAAAAATAATATTACAGTATATACGAAATGCTTTAATGATCACACAGAAGAGCTGCTTCAGACTTGAGGATAAGACCTCACAAGTTAAACTTTTGTCGAGCTTATTTGCTGAATTAGACACAACGTTGCTCTTGATGCCTTTTTGAGCTCAGTCACACCAAACGTGAGCAGGTCTGTGTGTGTAGAAATTCACACACAACCTGGACATGTTGCTCGGGAGGCAAGGCTTCCTAGCATTTCCAGGGTAGATCGATTTGGTCATGGCTTAAGAAGCCTCTTCATGCACGTGGGATGCAGCACACCCTAACTGCAACAAGCACGTGGGCATCTCATTGGTTTTTTCTTCCTTCCCACAACAGTTATCATCCTTTCCCATGGGCTCTGATTTTCTCTAGCAGAAAGATATCACTATCACTGTAAATATAAGCAGCAAGCTGTCATAGGATCAAAAAGAGCTAGGAGGCTGGTCTTTATATATTCCATTTCTGTTTGATTTCAAGACAGACGTTTGATACATTTTCATAAATCTTTTTGAGGTTTTATATATATATCAAATTTCTGGACTTTTGTTCTACCACATCCAGACACCAACTTCCAAAGGCACCAAAAGTTGCATCCTGACACAAGCTGAAAAGGGGAAGGAGAGAGGTATGGCAGGAGGTGATTCTTTCCTGTGAAAAAGGAGTTAACTTTTCCAAATGAACGAAATCTAAACTTGGCTATTGTCATCGTGTGATCTTAACGCCAGCCCTTTTGGCAAGTTTGGAAATACTGGGCTCCCTTATAAAAGTTAAAAATGTCCTGGACCTGGAGTTGTTTACCCAGAGTGTGTGAGCTGCTCTAAAGTTACAGGGCTCTGGTTGGAAGGGGTGGCTTAAAGGCCGCCTCCGAGAAACTGACGTCACAGTGGCCTCGGCTGCGCTGTGATGCTGAGCTGAGCAGCTTTTTGATTTGTGAAAGTGGTAAAGGTTTCAAAGGGACTTGTCAGTCCTGCTCGGTTGAATGGTTGGACTTACTTTGCATTCGCATCTCCTGCAAAGAAGCAAGATTCACCACGCTGAGACTTTTCTCTTTGAGACAACCAGCTATCTTCCCTTTGCTAGACTGACCAGTGGTTGACCATGAGCATAGGATTTCTCCCCAGGGCAAAAAGGTATGTTTCTTTCTGGCAATTTGAAAGCAAGTGACTAATTGCGGCAAACTATAGAGATGCTGCTGCTGACATATTTTCAACTACGGAGACTTGAAGTGGAGGGTGATTTCAACATCTGCCTGATTCATTGTCTGTGTTTGGGCTTAAACACAGCGGGGCGGGGTGCGTAACGGATTTTACTGACTCCCAGGCAAGAGAGGGCTCAGCTGCTGTGTGTGGATTTCCTGACTCTGGACTGACAGTGCCATCCGCTCTCTGAGACGGTGTTTCTCCAATGCTGTTTCTCAGTACTTTGAATACCACTTTGCCTACCATAGGATTTCACTAAATTTATTTATTAAAATGCTGTTTTCATTAAGAGAAGGATTTTTAACTGTTGCAAAGTAGAGTTCATGACCCTTGAAATTGCTGGTATTTGAAAATTGCAGTGAAAAATGAATCAGTGTAATTGCATCCAAGATAATGGTTTGCTCACTGCATCAGTGTTTCTGCAATTTGAGTTGAAATGCTTGCTATTCATAATGGTTTAATCTGCAGTTTGGAGGGATCCTTACCTCTACATCTTCCACTGTTTAAGCTGGTTAATTTTAGCTATCTGTTTACCCAGGCCGAGTGTGCCTTTCAAAGTTTTTAAAAGTAAGAGATGTAAAATCAGTGCGCCTGTGTGTTGGATGTTTTCTAGTTGGAGTATATAACTGGAGAGAAAACAAGGAAGGAGAAGATAATAAAATGAGAAGGCAAAATTGATTTCTTCAGAATTGCATATGGTAGTATCCCCTTGACCCAATTGGAACATAAGTAACATGCTGAAATAGCAAGAAAGAGAAATAAAAAATTTGATTGCACATTTTTTGCCTTGTAACAAAATCATATCATGGCTTGCTTTGGAAATAGGCATTTGCAGTGAAGAGTAGGGGAGGAATAATATCTGTTAATCAGTGGAAGTGATGCAGGTGATTCATGGTGGCCTGGAGAATCTTGGAGGCAAATGGTGCATAGCTTTGATAGGTATAGACATGGGAATTCCTAATTCCTTCAAAGTTAAGAGGGGACAAAGTATCTCCAAGGCAAAGGATTGTTCTAGGACTTGTGAGATTGACAGTACCTACTGTGTGTGGCATTCGTATTGGAATATGTAACCGCCTACAAATGAAAAATGTTTAATTATATGAAAAGTAGTATGTTTAGATAAAGGAAATCAGAGGACAAGAAACAAATACTCTGAATAAAGATCTCAGAAGAGAGAAGTTGCAACTGGGTCAACTCCCCTAAGACTCTTTCATTTGTTTGGCTGCAGTCCACTTTTCAGTGGGGCAGATGAAGGTTGAAATGGGAACCACCAAGGTGTAGTAAGAATGGAGCACCCTTCAGACGAAGAAGTGTTACCATGGCCAACTTGAGGCTAACCTGGGAAATGACAGCGATTTGCTGTGAAACTCCTAAGTTGCTCTTGAATTTTGCTTACTAGTAGGGCCGGAAGGTCAGCAGAGCTGTTTTCCTCCCATCACCTTACTTACGCAACCCACTCCCAACTCTACGACTCTGGCTTCCGGCAGTGGGAAAGGCGAAGTAGGTGAGAGTGGATTATGCAAGACTAGCTTAGAGCGGTTGAGGGGGTGAACAGAGCATGACTGAGGAATGCAGCTCACTCTACCCTTGTACATTTGCTCTAATAAATTTTTATTCTGAATGAAATTCTGGAGGAAGTAAAATGAAATGGAAAATCAGAGAGACACAGGGAGTGGGGCCGACAGCAGAAATTCTTCCTTCTCTCCCACAGAGATACCAACATCTGTGGGCGAAAAAAGTGCCGACTAGGAACAAAGAGAACTTTTGTATTTGCCTCAACAGAAAGCACTGAAATTGAGTCTTTGAATTGACTTAGCCACTGTACCCCATAACTTCTCATTATAGAACATTATGTCCCTACAAAATTGCCCTATTAGTTGGATTTTTTTTTAACATTTAAGGAGAACTATAATACAAGCAGTTTTATATAAGAGTTGGCTATCCAACTTTTTACAAACAATAAAAAAGTTTTCCTAAATATTTACCTTGCCGTGTAATCTTAAAACACTTGAAAACTACTGAGGGCAAAGGAAAATCATTAAAAACATGAGTTCACACGATTAGACTTGCTTCTGTCAATTTTCTGGTTAAATGAAAATCAAAATCATCAGTTTTATTCCAGAGAAAGATAGATAAAAATAAGGAGTGTTGCGGGTGGGGAGACAAGAAAAAAGAGGGAGGGAGACAGGGACAGAAGGAAGAAACCAAGAAACAGGCATTTATCAATCACCCATTGTGATCTAAAACAGTGTTACTCACTTTGATTAATCATTCTCTTTCTTCACATTTAATCCTCAGAAAACTCTATGGACCCCATTTTATTTTTAATAGAGAAAGCAATATATTCAGCCATATTATATCTGACATTTCTGAGAAGACATGGATACTAGGGAGGTGAAATAAACTCTCCTGCAGAAATTGGCAGAGATACTGCTCTATAGGAATTTTCTATCAAAGGCTTGTTTTTGATCCATAATCATTACACTTTCTGGCACTAGATATTGCTCCAACCCTGGAAAGGGGATTGGCCTTTTTCTGTATTAAGTGATGAGATTGACTCTTTGCAATTAAGTGTGGGATTCGATCTGCTTTGAGAACATTCCCTGGGTTCAAGTATAATCCTGTTACCAGGAACAAATCCGACTGAGGGTTTTCCTGAATGATCTTCAGATAGGTGAAAGAGAAAAGAACCTGGTGCCTTTTAACCCTGGTCTGGAAATGGTTCAAGAACAGTTAGGAATAAAAAGAAAAGTTGGAGCCATTTGCTACATAATTGTAGAAGAGACTTTCTGATGATTTGTGAACAGTTACAGTGTTTAAAAATAGGATGAAATATGGACTATCATAGCAACTCTTCCTGGTAGCTTGACATTAGTCTGTTCTCTTTCCATAACTCCCTTGATAAAATCTGCAACTGTCTCTTAATGTCTTAAACCACTCCATTCTTCCTGAGAAGTGTCAATCTTAAATACCTGCTAGTCAGCAAGGTAGTTTCAGCTCACAGTTAATTACATCTGGTTTTAAAGGAGTCTGCAGTCTCTGAAAATTAGCACTGCCTGCACTTCCTGTGAATAGTTACTTGATGAACCTAGGAGATTAACAGGAAATCGAGATCAATGACTGATTCACCAAAACAAACAAAACAGAAAATTCTTTATATTCTTTACTCTTCATTTTGTTAGGTCTTCATTGACACATTTATTTGGGGGCAACTTGCATTTGCTGTGGCAGGTGTTTGTGTTCACTGTCTCATAGGATTGGAGGGTAGCAAAAGGGACGAAGGATGACAGAGAGGATGGAAAATGAGTCAGAAAACTAGCATGGCTAAGGGCGTAAATTGAGACATGATAGCATTTTTAAGGGCTAAATCTGAAACTACTTTTTTTTTTTCTTGACTGAACTCGTCATAGTTTTGTGAGTACCAAAGAAATTGGTAAGAGTGATCAAGGAGTATCTGTGGCAGATTTTTTTGAGAGAAGAGTAGCCATATAGATCCTCATATTATCAGGGCGTTTTTGAAGGTGGAGCCCTGCATACAGATAGCAGTGACATTGTTATTCCTTATTAGTCTATTATAATTCATTAATAGGTTGCAGCTCAAAAAATATGTGTTCAGAACAGTTTATCAGTCAGATGTGCACATTCAGAAAGTCTGAAAAAAATGAAATGTCTTCAATGTTTATCTTATATTTGGGATATGAACTATGCAGCTGTCTTCTGTGATCGCAGAATGGGGCTTGCCACCTGGGTTGTGGGCTTCATTCCACAATGCCAGCACCCAGGTAGCTATCAACTTTTGAGAACTTTGCTCATAATTAACATCAGCTGCCACCTGGTAAGTTAAGGCATTTTGGTCATGGCCTAAAATGCTGAAGAGTTAGACTTCTTATAGTCCTGATTATCTTAGATGGAGAGTCAAACATTTTAAACATGTTTTCTACCCCACAAAAAAGTATCTGACTTTATTAATAAAAATCGTTTTCAGTGGAAATTTTTAAAAGCAAAAATAAGGAAAAATTTGAATTTCTGAAACCACTTTGCATTCCATATGTCATTTAATCTTTATAATAACCTGTGGATAGCCCCCATTTTAATGTTAAATAAACTAAACCTCAGAAATTTTAGATGACTTAGAGCTACCAGTCAGGTATCTTAAAGTACATCTTCAAATCCTAAATACACATATCCTAAATGCTAGAAACCTAATTCTTTCAGTCACTGATTAACATGATCAAGGATTTCCCTGAAAATGGATCAAAACATTTTCCTTAATTCTCTGTATTCAGTATTAATTCTCTGTATTCTGACGGTATACATCAGGAAAAAAAGAGCATAGATATGTTTTAACATATGGCTTCCAGGATAGTTTTTCTGCTCTTACGTTTTACTTGATGAAGTAAAATAATGAAATTTTTTTATGCTTTAGTTTAGTTTCTTGCTGATACATTAGTCCCAGATTGACTACCAATGCTGGGGTCTTATTAATACAGTACACATTTGTCATGGGCTTGAACTCAATATAAAATTGAGACTGTAGTCCAGCGCTGTCTCAGGAGTTTAAGTCACAGAGCTATATGATCTGGAACAGAAAGAGTAATTTTTTTTTCTCTTCGATGTTTATTGTAGCAGTAAATTAATATAGAAAAATTTTAAGCATAATAAGTGGAGAAGGAGAAACGAACCTGTCATTATTTACAGATAATGTTATTATGCACATAGAGAATTAAAAAAATAACCTATAAACAGCCTATTTGAATGTACCATGAAAATGCATTTGACATTCATCTTGGTGTGTATATATCTGTATCCGGAAGGAGTTATTCTGTTGCAGCAGAATATACCACAGTCGTGTAAATGTGACTATACAGTTGAATTTCATACTCCCACTCATGAAAAATTCTATCTTTAGATTAGGTGGTTAGTTAAAGGAACACTTCTGTCTCACACATGCATTTAGCCATCTTGTACACTATAATTTTGCTGTCTGGTTGCAGAAAGGGGAAGAAAAAAGTGTGGACAATACTTGTTTTTTCCACTGTGTTAGTTTTTCCTTCAGCAGATTTTTCTGTCATCTCTTCTCGTCTTTTGAGTCCAAGTTTCCTATAGTTTGTTTATGTCAGTGTCTCTTGACAAACTGATAAAATGTTTCCAGAAAGCACACAGATTTGGAACTCTCTCTTCTTATGTTTATATTAGGCTTTATTTTAAAGGCAAGTGAGACTGCTTCAAATAAAACAACTCCAAGCTTCCAAGAAACAGTTAAGAGAAGGCAGAGACGAGCAGAAACACCCCTTCGCTAACACTCACACGGTTGCCATGGACCTACATAAGCAGTGGGAGAACACAGAGACTGACTGGCACAAGGAAAAGATGGAACTACTGGACCAATTTGACAATGAAAGAAAGGAATGGGAAAGTCAATGGAAGATCATGCAGAAGAAGATAGAAGAGGTACGAGTTGATCTGTTTTGAATACATTGGAAACTTAAAACTCAGAATGAAAATTCTGTTGCTTGGCTTTTTATTGAAAGCTATTTTTTCTTTTCCTTTTCCACCTAAAAGATGCATGTCTCAGTGATACTGATTAGACCCAAAATAGCATAACCTAACTCAATGGTATTGTAAAAAGACTATGGCTTATTTTATAATCTTGCATGAAAATTAGAACTTGAAATGTTGCTCTGAAATGTATTAACTTTTAATTTTCTGACTAGAGTGCCTTGGTATCAAAAGTGAGATATGTATGTTGCATAAGTTTTCAAATACTGGGCCCAGGAGGAAAACATAAGAAAAGCATAATGGTGGAATATATATTAACAAAATTATAATTGGGCATTAAAATATAGATCTTTCCTGACATGATGTATGACTAAGTCTACTAAAGGAAATTACATATTAGATAATCCAGTAGACTCAAAAAGAGTGTCATTTATCAAAAGGAAAATGGCAGTGGACGTGGTATTTACTCTGGCAAGGTGTGCCACATTAATTGTCACATTTATTAGGGAAGAGTGTGTGGAAAATGGTATACCATGACTCTGACTCTGATACAAATGGTCATATTATCCCTTCAGCCTATTGGAGCTGGAATAATTCCTTTAAGTATTTGCATTGATGTATAGTCAAGCTTATCCCAACCGAAAATTATTTATACTTACTTTGCTTTCTTATAACATTCATGCTATTGACTTATATGGTTTTGTGCACATTGCCAAGGCAGTTATTTTAACAGACTCCTTGGCCTTTATTCACAGACAAAGCTGGTGCTTTCTGTGTTTATAGTGCAAATATTTTTCTTATTAACGGACATGTAATTGGTTGTGAATAAAATACAAATTGGCATGCTTAAAGGAAAAATAAAAAAAAAGAGTAGCTATTAAACTATTCTTCTAAAATAGAGCTGAGAAAGCAAGCATGTTGAGGATGACTAAAGGTGGATAGGAAAATTCACTTCTTATCCTTCTAGAGTTTGGAAAATGCCTTTTGCTTACTTTCTTAACTCCTCCACCCAGAGGCTCAGACTGGAGATGGCTAGGTCAAATCAGAATCCACAACTCCTGTCCAGAGCCTGGAGTCATAGGTCACTGGCTCACAAAGATCTGGAAGGTCCAGTTAGTAACAGTCTCAGATAATTCTAGCATCCAAGCAAAATAATTAAGAGAGGATCAGTCTAGCCAATTGTTTGAGCCACGTAGCTAAGACAGTCTGCTGTCTGGTTAAATTTGTTATTGCCAAATAATTATTCTGACAGCCCTGTAGATTCCGTCTATGGAAAATATTAGCCTTATCAATAAACAGGCATTAAACATGCTTTAAACATAGGATGACAGTCCATAAAAATACTGTCTCATTCTGCATCAAGAAGACAGGCGGACTGGAATATTTTTTCCTTATCTTGGGTAGTAGCTGTGGTGCTCCTTACGGCACGCTGCCCGCAGTTTACAGCACCACACCTGGAAATATGTTTAGATAATGTGCTTACACAGAATGCCCATGGATGATGCTCTTCAATACCTGAAAACTAGCATTGTGCCCCCCTTATCACACTAGTATATGTAGTCCTCCCTCAGTAAGCACAGAGGGTTGGTTCCAGGAGCCCCCATGGAGACCAAAATTCATGGATGTGCTCAAGTTCCTTATATAAAATGGCATGGTGTGCATTTTTTTCTACTTGCAGGTTTATACCTGTAAGAATTTATACATTCCTTCTTACGGGCTGCAAAGCTGAGAGTAGAAAAGATTGAGGACAACAGGAGGAAATTATCTTCACATGTCACAGAAAATCAAGACAATCTTTTTAGCTAAAATTAAAAATCGACAGTTGGAAAAAATATAACCTGCCACAAGCATAACAGATGATATTTGTCTCATATTTATCATTAAGTTCTGTATATTAAATCAGATACACTTATTAAGCCATAAACTAGAAAATTATAGGTTTCCAGGTACACTCATAGCTTCAGTGATTCCAAATAATGATATCATCTAGTGAAATCAGTGCTGGGTATTAAGATGCTAATGATCCTTTATTCAGCCACTATCCACAGTCATTGCATTTGCTATTGCAAAACCAAGAAGTACACACATGGATCATTTGAAACCTAGAATAATGCAGATAGAAATCCTGAATAGAGTTAATAATGCTTGGGAATTTTTTTTTTTATCACATTGCAAGCTTTCCTGTTTGTCTCTTTTGTTCGAATGATCCGATAACCACTGAAAACAAATAACACAGATTAAGGATACCAAATAAATGGTTTTCCATCAATAATATTACATTGTTTATTCATACTTCACTGAAATCCCTGAGAGAATTTAAGATGTCAAATGAAATTCTATATAAGGTAAAGTATGTCAAAACTAGAAGAAGAAGATGAAAGGAAGACAAGAGGGAGGCTCATATGTGAAATGCATGCAGCAAGTCTGTCTTTCTAGTAACTAACAAAAAATGATCAGATGCATCTTTCTCAGTATTCAGAAAACAAAAGCAAACCTATTTCCCCAAAATAGCACTTTCTTCCCTGACTTTGCAACTAAAGCAATTTTGTTTTCATCTATGGCTCCTCAAATAGAGGACGATGCCACCAACAGTATCCTTGGATTTAGCATGGTACTTTTGAGGGCTGTCTCTTATAATGTCCCTCAAGGTCAGCCAAAATTATAATACCTACAACAGTTCAGTACAGATAATTTTACAGGAGCCAAACAGTGGATTCATAGCTGCAATTTGATGCTATTCTGACTTCATCCAATGACAGATTTATAAGTATCTAGGGAAATAAATGCATATCCGTTAGGCATTAACTATTTATAGTGTTTCCCTCATCTGAGACTTGGGTAAATACTGAGCAGCAATAAATCTGTTCTCATATTCCTTGAATAATAGATGTAGTGCAGATATCAGTTGTGGCTGTAAAATGTAGAGTCATTTGCTTTAGTGGTTATCCGACAGTCGCTGGAATTTGGCAAGCGTTCCCAGAACTCTGGCCTGAAGAAAAAGCCACTTACTTTCACTATTCAGGGATGAGCTAAGTACTTGCAAGTTAAATTAAGTTCTCAAAGAAATAATTTGGGGCGCACTTCAACATAGACTAACAGATGATCAAAGACTATTAGATGATACTGTATTATATAGGACAGGGTCACATTTGTTTAAATCAGCACAAGAAACTTTATGTTGTTGTTAACGGAGGTACTGGGGATTGAACCCAGGACCTTGTGCGCGCTCAACATGAGCTCTACCACTAAGCTATACCTCCCCTACCACCAAGAAATTTCTTTTGAATGTGTATAGCTTTGGCATTAAAAAACATCTCAGTAATACCTGGCCCTCACCAACATAGCTTCCAAAGGAAGTATCTTTTGGTTGCAAAATGTGTACTGAGGGAACGGAATGAGCTGAATCACTTTGTGAGATGGTCAACTATTTGGACAGTTAAGTGTTAGCACACAAGTAGGATCATATATTGTAAAAGTAGAACCGTAATATTAAACTCTTACTTCTCTCTGCAAGCAGTGCGAGAGCATTGCCAGTAGTTGATTCTGGTCATTGCAGTTTTGTTTACAGTGCTTCTGTGTCATGACATCCATATAGAAGTACAGGTTTATTTTATTTTTGAATGAGTTGATTTCTACTCAGAAAGATAGAAATTACCATCCATGCTTTGGCCTACTAAAGTAATCTCTATAGTTTATCACATTGTTGTTCTGGCTAATCTAGATTTTAGAAGCACGATTTAGCAGCATAAACATTAATACTCTGGGGTAGTAGACAGCAATATGGCATAAAGAACGCAAAACAATGTACTTAGTGTCAAAAGTACTGACAAAGTGGATTAGGGAGACATTTTTATCTTTGTTTTCCTTCCAGCTCTGCCACGAAGTAAAACTTCGGAGGAAAGTCAACATGCGTGAACGTGCTAAGATCATTGATCTTGGTTGTGATAAGGCCATTCAAGATAAAATGGTGGAATCTTCTCCAAATTACCCCAATTCAGGACAATGTGAATTTACAGGGTTGAATCATAGGGATGATCTGGGAAAAAAAGATAACACAGAGCAAAACTTATTTCATGAAAGAAATCAAATGTGTAAGGAGCAAAAAGCAACCAAAAAATCCAAAGTAGAGTTCATGGATTCTTTGACCACAGATAAACAAAGGGAGGGTGAGGCCTGGCCTGACCTGAGGACTTCTGGGGGAGACAGTGGGAGCTGCTCCAGCGCCCTCAACACGGTAAGTAGGAGGGGTTGGCCTGGGACTGCTTCTAAAGAAACATTTACATTTCAAAAGGCTAACATGCTATTGCTTATATGTATAAAGGCTCTTGAAGAACTTGCCAAAGTTAGTGAAGAATTATGCAGCTTTCAAGAGGAAATTCGAAAGCGGTCTAACCACAGAAGGTAGGCTGGTACATCTCTGATGATTTTATGTTGGAAAATAAAAAAAAAGAATATTGTTTTCAGTTAATGAACCCAAATTGCCTCTGGCATCTCATTCACACTTTCTTAGGGAGAATTAGTAATGTGATTAAAAGCTGTCATCTTAGATAGGAGATAAAAATGTAAATTGAATATTTCTCTGTTCACTAATTCTTAAAGCAGATCTTCTAACTCTGTAATTTGACTCTGAGGCACACTTTACTCTTTTGGTGTTTAGTTAAGCTGTGCCCACCATAATAAATTAGCAAGTATCCTGTAATGTAGTTTTTGTTTTGGGTTTTTTCATGTTGAGTATTTGGCCAGTGGAAGAGTATACTGGGTTAATCTAGTTAAATACATCTTTAAACTATGTCAGATTTAACAGTGTGGTGTTTTAATTATATAGTGATGTTCCACTGAAATATTTTGAGTCATTTATTTCTCATTCTCTTTATTGCCTACTGTTCTCTGTTAATGAGCATTTGTCTGCCCTTTATTGTAAGTGATCTCATAAGTTGAAGGGATATAAGTATGATTTATATTTATCAATATGATTAACTTTAATTTATGAATCCACATTATTGCTATATTTAGGTTTTTATTTTGATAACTCAGAAAATTATTACTTGTCCATTTTCTTCTATAAACCACATCACATATAAAGTTTTCACTGTCACTTCATGGTCTTTAGAAAAAAGCTCAAAATCCTTAATATGTAATTGAAAGTCATTACAAGTTAACCTAATGCACCTGTCTTACTTTCCATCATCCTTCCCATTCTTGCTTTATGTTCCATTCACAGCAAAGTACTCACTGTCCTCTGAATAGCCTTACTATTGTTTCTGAAGCCCCCTTTGCTTATATGCCCTTTACCCATCAACAAAATTGTCACTTTTCTTTCATGTCCAAATAACACCTTCCGTTTGGTATTGCTCATGTCTCTTTGCACTTTGATTCAGATTTCCATCCTACTACTTAGAATGTTATTTCAGATTCAAGGAGAGGAACTTGGGCTCAGAAGACATAATGAATAGGGATTCAGTAGGCAAAGAGGATATAAGGAAATGGCAAGAGAAAAACCTACAGAAATGGGAACCCCAGTAGCAGACACCCCAGAGACCACACACAGTCTAGTCTGAGTGTAGGCGAAGTTTCAGGTAATAGAAAACATGAGAGACGCAGTTGAAAAGATATTTTGGGTCAGACTATGTATGTTGAGTCTCGAATACAACACTGGGAGGTAGGCCTTATTTTACTGTAAAAGGAACTTGAAGTTTTGGACTAAGGGATTTATAAAAAAATAATGTTTGAGGAAGTTGTGACTCCTTTTCCTGTAACAGAATCCGTTGCTTCAGTCTCAGTGTCTTTAAGGGCTTGTCATAAGTAAAGTTATCACTAATATACCATGTTTTATAACTGTTTAGGATGAAGTCAGATTCTTTTCTCCAGGAAATGCCAAATGTAATTAACATGCCTCATGGAGATCACATGATCAACAATGGGCAGTGCCTTCCTTCAACCAATTTAGAAAAAGAAAAACAGAAAAATACAAAGAATCTGTGCTGTACCAAAGTTTTCCTAAACAATTCTAAGAACAAAAGTGGAACCGATGCAATTGATCTGCAAAGAAATGAAACTCCACCAGTTCCTCCTCCAAGAAGCACATCTCGAAATTTTCCCAGCTCCTATTCTGAGCAAGCCCATGGAAGTCTGAAGGGAAGTTTAGACCATAGCAGCAGGGTGGCCCAAGAAGGTCAAGGTGAACTGAACTGCAGTCCTCATTTCCTGTGGCCGCATGATGCAATGCCTACACTGTGTCTAAATGAAGGGAAGACTTTGAAAGATGGTATCATATTTTCTTCTTTGGCACCAGAAACCAAAATAGATAACAAGCCTTCATGTAATGAGAATGTTGGACTTAGCATGTGGTCATCTGACATTGGGACAGGTGCAAAAAATAGCCCCTCTACACTCTGGTCTCAGAAAACCTGCTCTATTCCCAATAAACCAAAATATGAAAAGGCGATCCCAGATCAGCCTGCTAAATCTCATCCTGGTCTTCATGTAGGCAATGACTACTGTTCCTCAGTGACACAGAGCACTGGCCCACTGAGAAGTTTCGGTTGTGGCTTTGAAAAGACTACTAGAAATGAAAAGCTGGCAGAAAAGACTGATGAATTTAACAGGATCGTATTTAGAACAGATAGAAATTGTCATGCAGTTCAGCAAAATCAAAGCTTCTCAGGATCATCTGAAGATCTTCAGCCCTGTGATACCTTAATTACTTGTGCAGGTAATGCTTCAGAAAGTGACACTGTTTCTGACATTCTGAAAACTAGCGCCCATGTGCCTGTGCCCAAGGAAACTGTGCCTGATAATTCCACTAAAAAATCCACAACAGGCCTCTTCAAACAAACACAGGAGCACGTAAGCCCGAGCAGTTACCGGAATATGTTCCAGGAGCATGACTGGAGACCAAGTAATTTGTCTGGCCGACCAAGATCGGCTGATCCCAGGTCAAATTATGGTGTGGTGGAAAAACTGCTGAAAACCTACGAAACGTCAGCAGGGTCTGTATTGCAAAATTCTAAATGCTTCCAGGATAATTGGACCAAATGTAATTCTGATGTCACTGGTGGAGCCACATTAAATCAGCCTTTAGAAAAGCTCCAGATAGAACAAGAGCTTCAGCAAAAGACAGCTATGTGTGGGGCACAGCAGGTGAAGCAAGGAGTAGATCGGAAAAAGGTAATAGAGGTGAGAAAGCAATTTAACATATTTTGGTAGAACTGAATCTGTATTCAGCAGTGGCCCCGAATTCAGTCAGTTGCCCATTCATATAAATAGAACATAGGCACACATTTTAACATCTTCTTAGTTCCTTGGCTCTTTGTTTGTGAACAAATAGAAACCTTAGGATTATAGCACAATATGAACTTTTAAACGTATAATTTTTGTTGTTTTGTTTGTTTGTTTGTTTTATTGAAGTATAGTCAGTTTACAGTGTTGTGTCAATTTCTGGTGTACAGCGTAATGTTTCAGTCATACATATATATACATATATTCCTTTTCATATTCTTTTTCGTTATAGGTTTAAAGTATAGTTTTTAAGTCTGAGAATAGCACATTATAATTTTTAAAAAAATTCTGAAATGGCACAAGGTAATATAATTAGGCTTAAGAACCTCAAAAAGATCAAATATTTGTTGTGAGCTTCCTTTTTGAAAAAAATATTCTGAATGTGCATTTGTTAATCTGTAGAATTTTATCCTATTGAAGTGTTTATATTTCTTAAAGTACATGGGAAATGTTTTAAAAATAACTTGCTCTTTTTAGTTATTTGCTATGATTAGGTCTGTCATTCCCAGAATTTGATTCGTGCTCGTCCTCATGGGATCAGTCACATGAATATGAGTATGGATTTAAAAAACATCATTTAAAATAGTGCCTTATGAAGTTCTCTTATTGTGGAGCTAAAAGGCAGTACATGGAAATATAAAAATGATGTTGTAGTGTAAAAAAGTTTAAGGTCATTATTATTTGTATAAGTTCTTTGCATGGAAATTGCCGTTCCCCCCGCCACTGAAAATGGGGATTTAAGTAAACTGTTAATCCTGCAAAAGAGTATAATCTTTGCTAATTAGAGGAGAAAAATAGGTTGAAAAGACTGGTATTTACAGTGAAGAATTATCCATTAGTCCCTTTTATGCATAATATACAAAAATTTACAGGGTGCTGTATTGTTATAATTAGCCAGTGCTAGTTTTACACAGCACATGTGTATGCAGCATAGTTTTAGATTATGCAGCTTGCCTCCTTCTTGTGTAAAAACAAAAAAAATTGTATCATTCTTTCAAATCTTACAAAAATATCAGTTTACATCCGTTTTATCAGAAACTTTGCCTGTTTGCCCAAGGTACAAACAATTATCCTGTTTTTGTATTTCATTTTTCAGTTGATCCCCAAAATACCTGTATGATCCTGTGGTTTCAGATGGGAAATGGAAGCATATATACAATAAACAGCCAAAATTCTCATTAACTAACAAATGTTACTAAATAGTTACCATTTTTGCATTGATCATGGGTTTGGGAGGGGTCCTCTACTGTAGATCCTCAGGAGTTCTCCATTCCCCCTCCCCGGGGACAAGTGTGAAAAAATAAGACTCCAAGGAGAGAAAAAGTAGATGCAGGTTATGGTCATAGAAATAAAAGACAAAAAACAAAACAAAACAAAACAAAAAAAACAGTTAAAAAAAAGAAAGACCATTCTTACTGCCCAGCTCAAGTCAAAGACCACAGGCTTTGTTAAGAAGGTTGATAAGAACCAAAGGTGTAAAATGTGTCATGAAAGCTTTTTAATTGCTTTTTAATGGCAATGGCTTTTCTTCCATTAAAATAAAAAGGAAGCAAAACAGGAAGAAAGGAAAGAAAGAGAAGGGAAGAGAAGGAAATTGTTTTCAGTCATCAGACGATACCCAATATAGATCACAATTCTTCATTAGCAATTAAAATGAAGTTATATTTAAAAGTATTTTAAAGATTTCTTTAAAATAGGCCATGGCTCCTGGAAAAAAAAAAAGTATTTTAATGGTAATTTTGAAACTTGAGAAATAGTAACAGTGGTTCTTAAGGGGGAAAAAAAAGATAACATCAGGCAAATCATTTGGTGGTTTGTGTGCCTTTTGTTTAGGACCTCTAGAAGTGTCAGTAACTTTATATAAAATAACTGGACGTAAATGAATTCTTCTTTAAATTACTGTCTTTTTGTTTTTAAACAGCACTAAAATATCCTAACACCTAACACTAAGAAAAATCTTTAGTTTCGTCATATCAAAACTATCCTACATGAACTTTTGGATCCTGAACTCGTAGTTCTAAAAAGAAAGCAGTCGTATCAAAACTCGTCAATGTGAAGAGATCTACAATATTATCAAATGCTATTTTCATATTAAAAGTGAATTGCTTTGATTAAAACACTCAAGACCACAAACGCCAGACAAATACCTTCTTTCATTTTCAATGCTTTTTCTTGCTCATAGATATGGTAATACATTCATCCCACAGTCGGTGTCCACAATTTATTAAGCCCATTGTTGGTGCCTGAATCGTGAGATGAATGTTTTCATTTGTGTCACAGGAATCCCTGGCAGTGAAATCCTCACATGGAAAAGGATTTTCCCGACCTGCTAGACCAGCAAATCGCCGTCTCCCATCCCGATGGGCATCCAGATCTCCATCCGCTCCCCCTGCCTTGCGGAGAACTGCCCAGAGCATCACCATCTCTCTGCGATCTGAGGCATCGGTGGTCTGAGTCTCTGGCCTGGATTGCGAGACTACAAAAGTCCCAATTGCCAAACAGAGTATTCCGAGAGTTTACAACCAATCCTGTCTCTTCTGTATCTTTCAAGATTATTGGGACAAACAATTTAAATCTTAACTTCCCATCAGTCTTCAGTGTTTTTAATCTATGGAATAATTATCTTCCTGTATTTTGATTTCTTAGATCAGAATTTTTTAATGTCATCCTCATTAATTTGCCAATATGATTTAAGTTGAAACAATGTACTATATTGTATATTCTAACTTTCTTGCAAGTGGCAGAAAGCAAGGTTATGTGCATGGCCATGTGTTTGTAGGTGCATGTGTTGATATAGGAAATATCTTAGTATGTATTTAGATAAGAAAAACTTATGTGCTAGTGTTGACTTTGAAATTATAACATGTATACCTATATATTCTTTGTGTTTATTTAAAATTTTTAAAAATACACGGTATTATTTATATTTTGTATACCTTTTAATAGGTATCCACTTAAGGCTTTTGAGGTACTTATGTTAACTAACCACTTCCTTGGCTTCAACCACATTGAAAAATAGTTCTACGTGTATCTAACATTGGTAGCTTTCTATATAAAATTCATAGTTACTTAACCCATATAGGGATAGACTAATACCATTCATCTTCTTGTTTATCTCTTTTAAATAAGTAAAATTGTCACAGGTTTAACCGATCAGCCTTCTAAAGCAAACACAAAATGTTCACAAAAGCATTTATATATCATTCGGCAGTCTATTCTGACATTTAACTGTGTACTTAATCTTCAGAGCCGGTATCCTAAGACTGCCTTGTAAATGACATGACTAAACAATGAATTTATTCAGGCAACTTCAGTAACAAGCATTCCTTACACGGGATATGAAAAGAACTTCAATTATGCTGAATTCTACTTTTTGTTAAAACTATAGTAAGCTTTTTGTTCAGCTACTTTATTTGGAGTCATACATATTGAAAGGTAAGTCATTCACTTTCTCCTTTTTCTAATCTTTTCCCTAAAATTAGTAGATAATAGACTAATTCAATTTTTTATTAAAAAGGAAAATCAGGAATGGTGTTTCATTGAGAGCTGAATTATATTTCTTATAGTGTGCTACATAAAAAAAAAAAAGCCTTAAACTAACCTCTGACATCCATGAGTAGCATAAGAAATAGAAACTTTTTTTGGCCACAATTTGCAAAAAGTGAACATGTAAAATCTATACTGAGAACTGATAAAAATATGAATGTTGAGGTGCCTGGAATTTTACATGGAAGATCTTAGAAGCAAATTTGTTCTCCATTGTCTCTATATAAAACCAACTATGGTATTAGATATTAATTCTATTTAAGCTTTTTTTTAATTACCAAAAAAGGTTATGTAATTCTTATGACAAAAATATTCAGAGCCTTCTCCTTGTGATACATTCTAACAATTTAGAGAAATTTTCTTCATTACACCATAAATTGAGGTAAAGTAATTAATTTTTAAATCCCAGACTGCCTTAAAGGCTCAAGACTGTTGCATGGTGAAGGACAGATTCATTCTTTCCAGTAAAGAGAGTTTCCAGGAGATGAGAGGAATTAAGCTTCTAGAAGGTGAGGCTGGAGCAGACGGTAAGTAAGGGCTATAGATTGACTCTTTTAATTCTTGTTTCTTTCAGGAATCTCCTTTTCCATAGAAAGCCTATCAGAGAAAGTAACCTAGAAACCAAGTGATGTTGCTCATATAATATGCTTCCTATCTAGAAGGGAGGAAAACACTGGGGAGGCGGTAGCCTGTGGCATAAAATGATAGACCTGTTAGGAAGATGGTGCTGTGTAACGCTGGAGAGTCAGCCCAAGAACTGTGTGACGTAGCTGCTCCTCTCCTTCACTGTATACCAGGTAGTCCAATGTGGATCTGTGGTGCCTAACTTGAATTACAAGTCAGAATATTGAGAATTGTTTTTTAAATTAGATTTCTGACCTTATCACAGGATTACTAAAGCAGAATTTCCAGGGGTAGGGAGTGGGAATCTTGAATCCTTAGTAAAACAAAGAAAAACATTTGACGATTAAGGAGATGTGGAAGCAGTGACATTAACTGATACCTAATGGATGGGTACCATTGGGTAGTCATGTTTCTTCTCTGGGACTTGCCTTTGTTATCTGTAAATTAAAAGGGTAATATTGTCAGGTGTCACAATTTTATGCCACTTTTTCTATTACCATTTTAATGAACCAGTGGAACACATTTTAACATCTTATGTTGACAATAATCATAGACTATTAGAGCTGGAAAAAAAGCATCTAATCCAACTCAATTGTAAAGATGAAACTAAAAAAAAAGATTATTTGAGTATTTTGTTTTCTTTTTTTAAATATTTTACAATTTTTTATGGAAAAACCTATCAGGTAAATGGAAGTGATCCTTAAAAAATATTTTTGATGTATTGTGATTTTTAACCAGTAGTTTTTCTACTTTGGATGGGCATTTTCTTCCCAACAGCATACCCTTTATTACATCATCACTGCTAGATTTAAGGGATTTGTAAACATATCAAGAGTACTTGAGTAGAAGTTTTCCCTGGCAGACTTTTTGGGGAAAAAAATCTTCTATTATTTCAATGGAGGGTTATTGATATTATCGGCTGATCTCAGAAAGGAGTAAGAGTGAGGCAGAAAGAGTGTTTGAGTTTCTGTGCATGTGTGTGTATGCCCATGACCCTTGCCCGGGTTCTCTGTATAGCCCTATGCCTGAAGCCAAGTATAAATGATGTCGCATAATTCACTTTATCAAAAATTATCCGTAACTTTATTTTTACATTGACAGTGAAGGTGACCAGATATTATCATGCACAAAACATTTACTTCTCTGTAGAGGATTTAGCCAGACTCCATGTCACCCCAAGCAAACATCTGGACCTAAAAAAGAGAATCTGCTTCCCTAAAAAGATTTTTCAAATTATTTTTAGGCACACTTGCTGACAAACAACTACCTGATAATGAAATCTCCTTCAGTCGTTGGAAACTATCAAATAAAATAGGGGTGGAAACACTTGCTCTAGCATCTGTGTACATCTGGAGCATTTTTGTTTTCCACCTTTTCTACAATGAAAATCCAGCTGAGAGTTTTTTAAAGTCTAAACTCAAGTATGTATGTAGTTCAACCTAGCTTCTCCCAAAATATCTCTAGATAGTAGGGTCTAAAGGCCAAGCCTGCCTGAATCCCTGCACCTGGCCACACACACAACCCCGTCTAGTTTCTCGTATGCTGACACCATTTTGTGCCCATTTAACTACTTACTGAGTCTGTTTAAGTTTTGTTTGAAAAAGGAATACTCCTCTGAAATTTACTTTTACATGGTGAAATTTAGTTAAATTATTTTTAGGCAGATGTAGATTTCAAGCATAGTACTATTTTGCTTCAAATTCCTTGAGTAGCAAGTACCTTTATCAGAATCTAGAATTATGATTTACTCATTTTACTATAGCTCAAAAAATATGCTTCTTCAAAAACTGAGCTTCATAAAGTAAAAAAAAAAATTCAAAACAAAGAAAAGAATGATTGGGGGAGGAGCTTTAAGGCAAGGGTCTACTCAACATTTTTTACTGTGGGAATTTTTCTTATCATAGGAAATAATCTTTGTCTCAATGGGAAAAAAAATCATAAGACTTAAAATCTGATACATGTTATAATGATCTAATGAATCCAACAGGTAAGAATGGAAAATTCTGGAAAAAAAATTCTGTGTAATATGAAGCCATGATAGAGTCTAGAAATGAGAGACAAGTCTAGAATAGGAAGGACCTTAGAAGTCACCCAAAACAATCTCATATGGAGGAGAGAAACCTGCAACTTAGAGAGGCCTGCCTGGCTGCTAGGGTTACAGGGACAGGAACCCAGCTGGATTCCAGCATCAGTGTTCTGCCTCCCTGTATACCCGTGGGCATCTGAGAGCTTGCAAAGCACATATGTATTCCTTATTTACTTCTTAGAACAAATTACAAGGCAGCCATCATGATTTCTAATTACAGAAGGAAAAATTAAATAGCCAAGATAATAGAATAAATATTTCCCAAGACAATACTTAGCAATAAATATGTGGCTCTTCAGACTTAATTCAAGTTCTTTGCCCAAAGAAGTGAAGAGGAAGGCAAAGAGTGAACAGTTCCTTTTCACTTCTGTTTTATGCATGACAATGAAATTGTTTATTTTGCTTTCATTGAGAATTTCTCTTAATTTTGTCTTTTAATGATCTAAACCAAAATCGTCATTCATGATTTACATGGTTTCAATTGTTTCAAGAGATATTATTCAAGCAGTCATGAAGAAGTCACACTTTATCAAAGTAATTTAATTTTGTATAGAAGCCAATATTGTGTAGATTTTGTATAGAAGCCAATATGTTGATGGTAAAAACAATAAGTATTCCAGCAAGCAGCCAAAGCAATCCTCATCTATAGCATCAATTGAATCTGGACCTCCTCAATTTTCAAAAGAATCACAGAAAATGTTCACTCTGTATGACTTCAGTGTACTCCAGAATCACTACAAGCATTTCCCTTGGAGCATGCAGTTATTTCCAATTTTAAGTTAATTGTGTCCTGCCAATCTCTTTTTGAGGCTTTATTCCCCAATTAAATTATTTATCATGGAATTTTATAAAAATCATTAAACAAATCTAATCCAGCTATTTGGGATCTGAAGACTTTTTTTTTTTCATAATGCTGTTCAGCCTTAAAATCACACCAAATTTAAACTGTAAAATTTTTCTATTTCAGTCTTTGCAAGAAATTTTTGTGTTAAAATTAAGGCAGGAAAAAAGTAAAATAAATAAAATAGAATGTTAAAAAATAATTAAGCCAGGAAAAGATTCTCTGAATTAATGCTACCTAGAGTGAAAAAGTAAGTTTGCAATGAAACAAGAAAATTTTATTTTTAAAAGGAAGTTACACAAAGGAATAAAAGGGGGCAATAGTCTCTATATGTTAAAATCCAGGAGGTAAAACATCGGTGATAAAGATTCTTCCTCTGAAATCCTAGGCAAGAAGAGAAGAGCTGAGACCAGGCATGTCATTTGTCACCTCATTAAAAAGGAAACTGGTAGTGGTGCAGCCCAGTGAGCCAAAGCTAAGTGAGTTCATGACACTTCCAGCTCAACAGAAACAAACGCTAGGTTTTTCCAGGTGAACTGAAGGCCTGGGAAAAGCACAACACTAAGGACTCCAAGGTGGACCTGCTCAGGCGTCATCCTCAAGGAGATTCCTCATAAAACATCAGAGACCTGACACTGCGTCCAGAGCCGGGGTGGGAATGAAATGTCCAGAGGAGGAAGTTAACAGCAGCAAGATACTAGATCAAGAGGCCAGTCCTGGGGACAAGCATGCAGGACACTAAAGAGAGAAAACTAGAGGTTGGGAGGGAAACTTCCACTGGAAATAGGAACAGAGAGGTTTTCACCGGCATACCCGATCTTTACCAAAGTTGGGAGCCAAGAAGCCTTGGCTAGCGAGTGAAGGACCCATTTGTAGGCAGTGAGGAGAGTAACTACCAGGAAACTGAAACAAATGGAGGGTCTGTGCAGCCTGAGACACTTTGGGGGACTAGAAATGATGGGAGGCCATCAGAGGACCTCCCAGTGAGGGATTTAAAAAGACAGGCAAAGATGACGAGTTATGGGCTGACATCCTCTTATCTCCACCTTCCTTTTATTGTGACTGCCGTCAGAATCTTAAGATTTTATCTAGGTAACCTAATAAATAAAATAAGCCATCTACATCTGCATGTAGTAGACTCTAAGAGCAAAAATAGATACCCCAGAAATTGAACGTGACATTTTTCTTCAATAAAAAATAAAAAGAGTCCCATCATTAAAGAGTAGACCATTTTTAGGAGAACTTAGAAAATCACTGTATATATGGAGTAGACAAACATAGGCCAAACTGTATCCAAGAATAGAATATAGTCTCAGAGAAAAAGAAATGCAATGTTACATCTAAAGAAGGGGAAACTTCATTAGCTGCTTGAGCTCTGCCTGAATGGAAAGCAGGTGGGCTGCATGGAGCAGAGGAAAAGGTACCTGAGAATAAGCATATGTAGGGTTGATACACTGCAGTTCAGTAGAAAAGGCCAGGGTCTGAAAACATGATATTTGTGGCCAGAGGACTGTTCCATTCTGTCTTAGGAAGAGGAGGTTCCCCCAGACTGATCTGTGCCACACAGGGTTGCCCAAGTTCTATCAACTCATTTTTCCACACTCAGTGGAGCACCCTTCTGATTCTCAAATTAACTACCTAAATGTTTAGAGGAGTAGGAGAGCATCTAGACAGGGGTTCCTTGAGTATTTCCAGAAGGTTTTCTCTGATAGCAGAAAAAAAAGTCGCTCTCCAAAGGTCTCTGATGGTGTCTAAAATTCTTTGGATTTGGGGGGTTGGAACTCAAAAAATTTTACAGTCCTTAAACAAACAGGAATTTTGTCTGCTTTGTTCACTGACTGCGCCAAACACTTAAGAAAGTGACAGCAGATAGTAAGCTCAATAAATGTTGAATAAATAAACAAAACATTTTGTTACAATTTAAAAAATTAACAGAATGAAGTGTTTTAGTCACTTGCTATCAGAAACATCAAAATAGGTTTTCCTCTCTGCCTCCTTGTTTAATCACAACTGAACTGAATTTACTTATTTCATAAAATTGAGCCACCTGAATTTACATCATAATTTCTTGTCGTAGTGTCACCATATTTTGAGAACTTAAAAATGCATTTGAATTGAGATAGTTTTTTTCACTGTTTTGTAAACTTTATAATCACTAAGATGGCAGGAACACTACCAAAGAGATAGTACACTGGAATGTTTGAATCAATTGCTGTTAGAAATTTTGTTAAGTATCTTCTTGCTGAAAAGTCAAGTGACATGTTATATGAAATATTGTAATTTTGTCTCTTTTACTATCTTAGGAGAAAAATAGTTGAAGGGCCTTTCTGAACGAAAAAAAAAGTAACATTATATGAACTAACTTTTATCATGTGTCATTTCATTAAAACTTCCAAAATTTCATTGTTGATGAAGCCAACTCTTCACAGCTCTCACACTTTAATTGTGCTGCAATCCTGTCACATCCAGTGAAAGCTTTCACAATTTCACCTTCACAAAGAATTCACCCTCGAAATGTTTTTGCTGAATAAGCTAACTTTGAGAAGAACTACTGTTTATCATTAGACAAAGTAGTGATTCATCATTAGCTACTTTTACAAGTTTTTAATTCTCCATTTAAAAAAGAATAATTCTACTGAATTGAAAATCTGATCAGCATATTTCTCTGCCTAAACTAGCACATATGCATGTCAAAGAGTAAGTTTTCAAAATCATTTCTCTTTTCTTTACAAGTTGATCTAAAAAGATAAGCATCTAAATAGTTGTTTCTGTTAACTGTCAACAAAATCCAGTATTTCTCTCCAGCCCATTAATACACAAAGAAAATCAAAAGACAAACTCTTTGAGGGAAGCTACCATTGATGCACTGCTCCAGGCCTGCTAATTCATGCAGGCTGTAAAGGGTGACCTTCCCCCACCAATGTCAGCGTCATAGATTTGCTTCTCTGCGTGCATTCATCAATATGTGTTTTCATTCATGAAAACTAATATAGTTTAAAAATTATTTTCCTGGTTATTTTACCCTAAATCATCCATATAAAATTAATGGGGCAAAGATCAACTCATTACACTGCTAAATTATTAGTGTCCGTGCTTTCCAATTTAAAAATAACAAGCAAGGTTAGCATTTATCTCTTAGCCAGTCCCAGGATATCCTTCCAGTGTGTTAGAATTATTGAATATCATTCAAGAAGTGTCTCTTTTTCATCTTGTCAGTTTCTTTTTAGGCCCCCAAACAGGTATGACCATAATTACAGCACAGAGCTTCACCAAGGTTGGGGGTTTTTCTTTAAATTAATCATCAGGCAGTATTGTCTTTTCAGTTGTGTTTTTCACTTCTAGCTAATATTTTTTTTCCTGTTGGTGCAACATTTTCTGGTTGTTTGAACAGTTCATTGTAATGTTAACCACAAGAACAGTGCTGGTTTATACAATTATTTTCAGGGTTTTATCCACTAAAAGAAATAAAGGGTTAGACCTTTAGCTTTTCTACAATATTCTAGCTCATATTTTAAATATGCCTCTAAATATATCCTACTGTTTTTAGATGCCAGCTACCTAGTAGTAAAGAGGATAGTCTAAGACCTTTTCACCATCAGTTTCGCTGGCAAAACTCATCTCTCCGACCTTTGCTGATTTTTTGGATGCACTAAAAATTTTAAGTCATCTGTTTTATTTTATCCAATATTCAGCTTGTGATCCAAACTTTCTGTATTAAGTCACAGGATGTATTTCCTATAGGAAATATCATTTTAAAATTATTACACTTTAAGTGTGTAAGTGAAAAAATAACATTACACACACAGTACAGATTTTTTTTTTAGTACATATTTGCTATTGGCAGGAAGTAGAACTAGAAGGAATCAAGCACTTGTAAACGAATCCATCGCAGTAATTGTTAGA